ACGGTGAGATGCTCCTCCTTGGCCTCGCGCTCCAGCTCCAGCTCGCTGCGCGAGGCGGCCGCCAGGCTCAAGGCGCAGAGCCACAGTCTCATGTTTCGCAAACGAAATGTAGCGCTGCCTTACGGCGCAGCCGACATCTCGATCGAGTCGGCCCTGAGCAAAGATGCGGCGAAAGATGGCGAAATGGCAAACCAGCTTTGGTCATGGACAGTGACGCAGTTGAAACAGCGTGCTTGAAATGGTGGCGAAAAGGAAGTCCACGCAAAAAAAGCAAAATGAGCATTCGCCCAAAATATGTGCGCTTAACGGCCTCAAAGAGTCCAGTCTCCCAATTGCAATCTGAAAGATCGGGCGCATGAAGCCATGCACGCCCAGATTTCGCAATTTCGTCCCTTGTAGGTCCGAAAAGGGAGAAAAGCAGGCAAAGCTCTGACTTTGACGACCATCAGCTGCGCGCCGTTATGTACATTGTGTGTTTGTCTATGCGTGTTTGACAGGCACACAGACAGACAGACAGACAGACAGACAGACAGACAGACAGACAGACAGACAGACAGACAGACAGACAGACAGACAGACAGACAGACAGACAGACAGACAGACAGACAGACAGACAGACAGACAGACAGACACAGACAGACAGACAGCCAGACAGACAGACAGACAGACAGCCAGCCAGGCAGGCAGGCAGACAGACAGACAGCCAGGCAGGCAGGCAGGCAGGCAGACAAACGCATGAAAACATGGACAAATGAACAAATGAAGGGATGAATGGATGGATGGATGGATGGATGGAACTTTAAATCATGACATGACATCCAATGACATCCAATGAAATGAATCAATGAAATGACATGAAACGACATGAAACGACATGAAACGACATGAAATAATATGAAATGAAACGGAATGGATTGGAATGGACCAGACGGAATGAAGAAACGGAATGATCAGTTCAGAAAATAATATATATATATATATTAATATTATATATATATACGTACATGTATATTCCTATACGCGCACATGCTCTACATGCCTATGCGCTCCGGGGCTTTGCAAAGCGCCGGAATCTCCGTTTTCTCCGCTCCGCCGGGCGCGGGAAGGAGCTTGGGGCCAGCCGCCCAGCCCGCGCGCAGTCGAGTGCACGCGAGCGAGCCGATGCAGGCGCTGAAGGGACTCCTCTCGAAACGCCGGGGGAGAGCTTCTGGGGGAAAGGTTTGTCCCCAAAAAATGGGACTGGCCCCCAACAAAAGTGACACCATGTCAAAATGGGCTTTGTCTCCAAACTGGGTTTTGGTCCCCTCCAACATGGGGACAAATGTTGGGTTCCCTTCCAAAGGCCCAAAAGGTGGCGCCGTCCAAAACAAAAAGAGAGCGACACTCTCGGGTGTCAGGAAAAAGAGAAGAGGGGGGAGCTTCTTTCGGGAGCCTTTGGGCTTGTGCTCTTTCTTTCCGGAGCTCCGGAGCCTTAGGGAAAAGACGGAAGTTATATGGGAGCAAACTGGTCAGAGTTGGTTGCCGTTGAAGGGAATGAACTCAATTCAGAACTTCCTCTTGGCTGGTCCTCTTGTTCCTTTAAGGGAAGCCCCTTCCGGTTCATTCCCAAAACCCGGAAGGTCATTCCCCGCTGAGCACCAGTAATTTTCTCTACGACGTAACTCTACGACAAGAGTTTGCACATTTTGCACGCAACCCTAAACAGCCAATACCGCGCAGAAGTGGTTGCAAAATAGACCCTGAGTGTGCGCCATATGGATGGGGTCAAACATCAATGTCAACTTTGGATAAAATAGAGCGGCATTCCAACGCGTTCCCTGCTGAGGACCAGCAAGAAATCCATCAGGTTCCAAGGCTAGCCTTGGGGGAGCTTTAGTTTATACCCACCTCCCGTAAGAACTGCGTGATGTCAACTTCGGAATTAAATCGAGGACCAGACTAATCAGAGATGGTGCCCTTCAAGGGAATAAACTCATTGGAGATTCCTCTTAGTATGGTCCGCCTTTTGATCAATCCAATGTTGCTTAGTAATAAACCTGGGAACATGACCCCTCATGCAGTTGCAAATAGACTTCTGAGACCCCACTTGAATGACCATCAAGTAACCTCAGATGCCCAGTGGCCATGGGAAAAAATGGGCATCCGTTTTTGGTTGCTTGACTTTAAAGGGGAACCTTCCCCCCAAAAAAGGGAAAAACGGTATCACTGGGCAACCAGGAAACTCTCAAAGATTGGTTCGGGGGGTAAAGTATCTCGTGAAATGCATCACCTCATCAATCGACTGACTGACATGGATGGTTGCGAAATCCGCTTCTCGCACCACCGATCAGAGCCCCTGGTTTCGAATTCGATTCCCCAAAGTAAATACCGTAAGAAACGTTATGGAGTTTCATTTTCATGTTTTCATTTCGTGGTGCGAGACTCGCGGATTTCGCAACCATCCACAGTAGTGGTCATTACCATGTTTTTTCCCCAACAACTGAAAGCGTTGGGGTCTCAGCCCAGATAGGCTCGGGGTGGTCCGGGGCGGCCCTGAGGCAAGGTTCCGCGAGGGTTCCACCAGGGTTCCACCAGCCACCAGGGTTCCACCAGGTCTCCACCTGGGTTCCACCAGGGTTCCACCAGGGTTCCACAATGTTCTGCGAGGGCAAAAGAGCACCGAATGCTGTTGGGGATACCACCTGAGCATATTTTCTCTTGAGAAAACAATCATCAACTCACGGACATCCCCCCCACTATTCAAATAGCAATCACCGCCCAAGTGCCTTCTGGCGAAATGGCTCACTGTCATCTTGCTTGTGCTCAGCAGAGAATGAGTTGGAATGACCCCCATAACTAACCATCACCTTGTGGTTTCCCAACTTTTTCGAGGATTTCTGCAATTTCCCTGGATTCCCATCACTTGTGGTTTCCCTGCGATCCCTACCTATCGCACCGATCGCAAGCGGGGAGCCCAAGCCCAAGCGCCCGAGCCTGCGGAGCCTTCGGACTTGGAGTCTAGGCCTCGCCCTGGAAGCGGCTGTGCTTCTTGTACCCCTCGTGGAGCTCCTGGCAAAACGAAAAAGAATGACGTCTCCGCAAAGGAAAAGGAACAAACAAAACCTAGTAATCGAGGCAAAGGCTCCAATAAGCTCATGCTTTTCCGCAGATGGCGGAAAGCAAGAGGGGGTCTAACTGCTAGTAGAGAGGGGAAAGTGATTTGCGAGATTGATGGGCGTGGGGTGCTGGTGTAGGTGCTGTATTGGGGCGCTGTTTGGGGTGCTGATGGCAGTGCGGGCGCATCTTTTCAAGATTGACAGTAGGAGGCTAGGGGGCATGCAGTTTGGGGTGCTGGCGCAGGTGCTGCTTTGGGGGGTGACGGTGCGTGCGCACTTTTGCATCTTGACGGTAGGGCGCAGGGGGGAATGTGCTGGTGCTGATGGTGCTGTGGGACGCTGCTTGTGGGGAGCTGTTTGAGGTGCTGGTGACGGTGCGAGCGCTTGCGATATTGACGCCCGGCATGCAGGTGACATCTTGACGGTAGGGTGCAAGGGGGCATGCAGCTTGGGATGCTAGTGCAGGTGGTGTTTTGGTGAAGAGGGGGGTAGATTTGCGAGATCGCTGGGCTGGTGCTAGGGGGCGTGCAGTTTGGGGTGCTGGTGTAGGTGCTGTTTTGGGGCACTTTTAGAAGCGCTGTTTGAGGTGCTGGAGCAGGCATGCAGGTGACAGTGTGGGGGCATTTTTGCAAGTTTGAGTGGTGCGTTGGGATGTTGTTTGGCGTGCTTGAGGTGCTGGGAACGGTGCGGGCGCATTTTGGCGAGATTGACGGCTGTGTGCTGTTTGGGTCGCTCTCTCCTGGAGGTGCTGGTGGAGGTGCTGGTGCACAAACTTTCGCTGTTTTCCGCTAGCTGAAGTCCATGCTGGTGTAATTCTAGGAAAACAGTTCGAATGCACATATAGAGCCCTAGTGAGGAACAAGAGCTCAGTTGCCCCTTAGGGACCTGGAAAAAAAAGGCCAACCTTTTGGGACCAATACAAAGGAACAATGGACCAAATGAGGGAAGCCAAAAGGTTGAAAGCTTGGCTTTGCAGTTTCAGATATGGGGGTTTGGAGGTACGAAGGTTGTGTACCACTCATTTATTCGGAAAGAAAACTGCCTTACTATATGAGCAGGGGTTCCTGTGATGTGAGGGCCGAATGATTAGAATGGATTGAGGGATTAATTCATCGGTGTGGGTTCGTGGTTTCAAGGCTTGGGGCCCCGAATCGAACAAAAAAGGCGTGCAGGTCCCCAACCCCCATTCAAACGTTGCTTCAAAGCCCCGGATTACACGCACTTGATTTTCAGCCTGCTCCAGTTAACCTGTTCCTGCAAAACGACAAGCACAATCTCCCGCCCATCCCTCAAAGCAAAACATGCCCTCAATAGTTTACGATCCGGTGACTAAACACCTGCAGGTACATTTTGCCTCTCTTCCATTCCCGAAAAGGATATCCCACTTGTTTCTACACATACCCATTGAGCATCGCATGAAACCCTCATTGACCCTTGAAGTAGCAGGTGCTTCTGGCGCTTTGATGCTTACCAAAGTTGGAATTCTACGGGAGTCCAACCGGGGGTGCCGCCAAAAACCGACCGATCAAAGCTTGTCTCCAAGGAATCCGTCCCCTCCAAGCCGTCGCCTTCCTTTTGGTTTCCCAAACCAACCCCCAAGCAGTTCCGCAGCAAACCCTGTGGACCCCACGCAGCAAGGGTTGCAGCAAGCTGAAAACGCCCGAGGGTTCAACCCATGCCCAGGGTTCTCTTTGTGAAGACGGGGGAAATCAAGAAGTGTCAAAATGGGTCTGTCTCTTTTTGAGGGTACCCTTTTGGATGGTTTTGAAGGGAAACCAAAAGGACACCACCCATTTTGTCGAGGGGTTCCCCTATTTTGAGACAAACCCAAATGGGGCAACCCCGTTGGAAGCCAAATGGGTTTGACTTTGGCTTCCGATTGAAAACCAACCCACTGCCCCATCTGAAATCATACAAGCTCGATCCTACAATCTCAATTGATTTATGGTGGTTGTTCGGTTTTTTTCAGTCGAACCTATCCTTAAGTGGCTGTTTGGTCTGGTGGTTTGGACGCGAGGAGATACCTTCCTCATTTAAAAATGCTTGCTTCAAAAGAAAGCGGCCAAACCAGCAATTATCAGCTTTTCCATGACCGGTGGTTTGGCTTGCTTGTAGGCTAAGTGGATGGTTTCCCAGCCTACCATCAACAAGAACCAGAAATTAAAGTCCCCAAAGCACCAATCCCACCCGCCTACTCAGGGTTACCTGATTTTTTTGGGGGCGCCTAAAGTCACAGCCTTGGATGTTTCGGCCAAGTTAGCGGTAGATTACCCTTACGAACCGAACACCCAAGGGCGGCTTACTTCCTGAGTGGATTAGCCCCAAAAAAAAAGTTTCTCCTTTGCCACTAAAGGTGACAAAGTCCGAGATGGAACTCAAGTGAGAAGCAAACCCGCATAAACCATCGCCTATGGCATTTAAAGAATCCCCACATTCCCACACCCTGACTCGGTCATTCCCTATCGCACCCACCCTTGCCAATATTTAATGAAGACCCTGGCCCTCAGAAAGTGAGAAGCAACCCAAAAAACCAAGCCCACCTTTTTCAAGGTCTACCTATCGCACCAACCAAGTCTTCTGGGTCCACCCCCACCGCATGTTTCTTTTTCGGACCATTCTTTTGGGCCTACCCCTGCCGCCTTTTTATTTTCGGACCCAAGGCCCCCACAAAAATCCCCCAAAGACCTCCCGCTCCTTGAACATGCTGCGCAGGGGCTCCCGCAACGAGGCGTAGAGCCCCTGCAGCAGATGCTCCGCGCCCTCCAACGAGGTCCTCGGCACCCGCGGGCAGCCGCCGAGTGACGAGCGCGGACGGATGGGCGCCCGGGAAGGAGAGAAACAACGGGAAAGCTGCGGTATTTTTTCGGTTTTTTGCATGTTTTTCTATGACATCCCCATGCAAGATGTAAAGGTTTGTAGGATTGGAAGCGCCCAGCTGAACAACCCTAGTCACCTGCAGAATTGGGTTTGGTTCTTCAAACAAAAACAGAACAACGAGGGTGTACAATGTTGAACAAGGGAAAGCATTGAATACCAAGGTTGCCTTGTTTAATGTCGTCGGAACGGGGAACCAAGAAAAACCTGCGGGGCACCACCCCCAAAATTCGGAAAGTCAACACCAGGGAACAAGGAATGCCCTGGAGTTTTACCATGGTTTATGGTTGGCTTACTGCCTTTCATTAAGCAACGTTCTTAACTCACACATGGGTGGGTGGGTGTGTGTGTGTGTATTTATTTGAGTTGGCACCTGGTTCAAAGGGAAAAGCAGAAGGAAAACCGAAGACCCACCCCTTTTTTGGCGGGAACGCAATCTGAAAGACACACAAACAGATTGGGTTGGTCCAGTTTTCACCTGCCGAGCGTCAGTAAAGGCACCAGGCCCTGCTGTAGCACCAGAACCTCGGGGTTCTCCGGGCATGACCCCGAAGCCATCTGAATCGGACCCTTACTGAGCTGGACGAAGATTTAGGCTATAGACAGCCAAGTTGTTGGTTCATTTAAACTGTCTGCATAGATGGATAGATACAATCTAATTGGATTTAGATATGATAGACGTCATCAGATGGGCAATGATACAGCTTGCTGCAGGTTGAGGGACGAGTCAAGTGCAAATTATATCCCGTCTTTTCCTTTTCAACAGTCATTGCATTGCTTTTGGTCTTGGTGCTGGCTTGTATGCTTGGAGGATCTTTTTTTTGGTCGAGGTTCCATGTGGCCTCAAAATCGGACCCCCAAATGCTCCGGCAATTTTGATGGCCCAGGTATGTATACAGGGGCTTTGGGGACTCGAGCGAAGAACAAGAGGACTCCGCACCATCCTTCTGCCAGCTTCCGTCATTGGAAGCAGGGAAATTCAAGTGCCGCCTACAATCTGATCCGCCAAAGACGACTACTCCACCAAAAATCGCCAAACAACTCACGAAAAACCACCGAAACCACTGAAAAAAAGAGTCGCCAAAAACCCACCGAAAACTGAACCCGAAAAAAATACGACTCCAAAAAGCCCCACATGGTGGGTTTCACCCGCCCCACATCGTCGCATCGAAGCGGCGGCTTCCTTCCACAGGGCCACCTCCTCCGCGCCTCGGTTTCGGTTGCGGCCACGATCCGCAGGAACCGAAGGGGACGCGCTTCCTCCGACTCGCTGCGGGTCAAACCGTGCCCTGTATTGGGCTATCCACCGTTGGGTGTTGTGTTTTGGCAGGTTTGGGGGGCTCCCTTTTCCATGCTTTTCTTTTGCAGTTTCGTCGGCCGCGCCGTGAGACAACCCATAGGCCGTTCCGTCTTTCACAAGGAGTCATTCGGTCGCCCCATGGGCTCCCGAGTGATTCGGAGCATAATGGCTGTGGGTCAAAAGTGGGCACCCAACACGGGTTGCCCTGGTACATGAAACCAAGGACTAAAACCTGCGGTCCGATCCCTGGTTTAGTTTTGACCCATACCCACTTGTTTGCCAAGGATAATTTTGACGGGCTGCTCAGGGCTGGCTCTGTTCATGAGTGGATGGACCCGGGGAGAAAAAAAAATAACGTTTGTTTGCCACCAAAATGGTCTTCCCAACAACTTCGAAGCCCGAAACGGAACTCAGGGAGTGAGCTGGTCTTTCAAGGTGTCTGCTTCGTTCTTCGATTCTTCAAGAGAATGGAATTCTCCGCCAATCCACCCAAAATGAAATGTTTTGCCAGGTATGTTTCAAACAATTGAAAGGCTGGTTCCTGAGAAATTGATGGGTCCCTGAGGGCCGGTTAAAATTCCCTATTCATTTGCTCGTCCCTAAGAGGCAAGTAAGGGCAAGTGAGCCAGCCGCAAACCAACCAAGAAACCCCGGTGAGTTGCAAGCAAACCAGTCAAAGACTGCTGGAAAATGCCAAAACCAACCAAGAAGAGCCGCATTGCAAGTACAGGAAACAAGGAACACGGCAAGGACGGTCAATGGCAGGGGCTCGTGGCTCTCTACTTACCCGCCCACGGAGCAGCCCACGATCGTCGCTGGGTTCACATCCATCAAGCAGCGATGGAATGGGAAGAGGGGTCCTGCGTTAAAATCATTCAGATCACAACACGAGAAGGCGCCTGGACCTTGGTTATCGAGGACCCCTAGGTGATACAACAAGCTCAGCACGAACTACTATGACTTGCCAACTGGAGATAAGGGTGAAGGACCTTCATCGGCGAGCTAAAAAAAAACACATGAATGGTCATAAGAGAATCATGTTGATAATTGTTCACCACCACCCCCCTCCTATCAAACCACTTGCAACCATTTCTGTACCACGAGTTCTGCTGACAAGTCGACAAGTACGCAACCACTCAAAAATGCTCCCCCTTCCCCTTCTCACCCCCAAAAAAAAGAGACTGGAAACAAAATGCCCCCCCACCCCTTGCCCCGCCCCCCCGAAAAAACAAATGTTCCGAAAGCTGTAGTGCCACCCCCCCCCACCCCCCCACAGCTCCCCCTAAGCAAACACCTCCGAGGCGCGGCCCTGCGCTCCCACCCCAGGCACCGCCGCCGCCGCCGCCCGCTTCCGGCACCGCAAAGCCGCCGCCTCCACGCCCTCGAAGCGGCGCTGTGCCTCCAGGGCGTGGGCCAGCAGCGGCAGCGCGAAGCCTCGAAAGGCGGCGCGCTGCTGAAAAGACAAGGGCCTTGGGAGCCTTGGGGGCATAGTCATACTGGATGGGGAAATCCATTTCGCACCAGTTTGACACCACGGGAAACCATTCTTGTTTTGATATTTACAGGAAAATTGTCCTTCCAGGGTTTCTTAGGTGGTGCAGGATTTCGTCCATCCACAGTAGCTCAAGAAAAATGTGTTCCAAGCCTTGGTCCTGAAGGCCTTTTTGCAGCCTCAACCCACCCCCAAACGGAGGAAACACATGTAAGTTTCTTTTGAAATCCACAAAAACTCAGTAATGCAGCTTTGGTTTCCGTTTAAACACAGACACGCGAACTCTCTCCACAAGAACATACGATCCCTTCAAACATCAACATCAAGAGAACGTCAACTGAAACGAAATTGACAATCAGCAATACTGTGGATGGAAAAATCCTGCACTAATTAATGTGAAACATGGGAACCAATTTGTTTGTTGGTATTGCAATCTTAGGTGGTGCAGGAAATCGTCCATCCACAGTATGGCCCTTTGGCTTCCCCTTAAAACAGGTCCCCGTTGAAAAAATCCATCGATCCCATTCGAGCCTGTCGTGGCGCGCTGGACCTTGGCCTCGTGCGTCGTCAGGCCTGGGTTCAGTCCCTATCCCTCTTTGGTGGAAGAGACAGCGGAGGATGCGTAGTTCCGCAGCTTTCTGACCCAGCTTTTGGAGGTATCTCTGTGGAAGTGCTCCAAGCATGCGGCACCACTTGGTTTCAAACATCACCTTTGAAAACCACCGCAAAAGGGGGGTCAAGGTACCCAGGGGTGATGTTCCAACGGGAAATAGAGGGAACCCTTCCGACGTGTCACAGTGGGCACGAATCAGTCAGGGCCCTAGAATTGAGCAACATGTGGGTGTCTGCTTTTGGGGCACTGGGATCCAAATGGCTGAGACAGCGGAAAATGAGCAGACGTGATTGCTGCGTCCCCTCGAAATGAGTTCCTTGCTTCCAAAGTCCTGTGCGGAGCTGCAGAGGCAATAGTTTTGCACGTGGGTGTGCACACAACGCCCGTTTGGAGACTTTCCTTTGGTTGTCTCCATATCATACCTTCATTCTGCGAGGAAGGTGATGGACATCCCAGCAAATGCCCGCTTGCATGGTGTTTTCATTGCCACAAGGAACCCCACCATCTGCAGAAATCGCTTGGGTCAAAATAGGTACCCGGAATGGGTTGCCCTGGTAAGTGGAAACCTGGACTAGAACCTGCGGTCCATATCCTGGTGGTTCAATTTTGACCCATCGCCATGTACGTTTGGAAACGCGCCCAAATCCACATGTACGCCGGATCCACCTCCAGTGTTGCGCCAGCCTGATACAGTCGCCTGGTTGCCTCTCCACCGGACGGAAAACTGAAAATGTATCAAACAGCGGGAAGAAAATGTGGAATCCACTGGAAGCGCAATAGGTGCGTAACTTTATGTGAATATCCGTTCCTGGCATTCTTCGACAAAGAAATCAACCATGTGGCTGAGCATATCTGCCCCCGTTTGTCCACCAGGAAATTGTTCATCCAGGGTTCCCCAAAACGTGAAGGACTTCTAAAAAGGAGCCTCCTCCCATGTTTGTCCACGAAAGATGATTATTCCTGGGTTCCCATTGTGGACATCCCCCATTCTTTTTCCAAGCAGGGGTCGATCCCCCCCTTCCCCGGTTTCAACGGCCCTCCGTCCCACCCACATCGATCTCTGCCTGTACGGCCTGCGGACTGCAGAGTCTGCCGCGCCCCGCCCTGCGTCGGGAAGCGAGCAGGAGCGAGGAGGAGACTCATTGGCGCCATGCTGTGAATCCAACCCAGGGCATTGAAACGACGAGTCAACAAGTCCCAAAGGCTCCTAAGGCTCCCGGAAAAAGGCACCAAACAGTGCTGGGGACGTCTGGAAAGCACAAGACCCTGTTTGAAGCACCAGTCAGAGAAACCTCGCCCAACTGAACTCCCCAAACGCCTGCCACAACGGGAGCCATGATGAGCTTCGAGACACACCGTCACAACGGGTCCAAAACCAGGTGACGGTTAGATGTAAAAAAAGTTCGAGCAGGATACAAAAGAAACACATTCAAGCACATCCAAGTACCAATGGGTGTGCTCATTCTACCAACACCAATTTTCAGAACCAGCCCCAAGACTGTTGACTATGAGCCGATATGACTTCTGCAGTCTGGCCCATGTTTGCCGTCGTCAAAATCAGCACGGACAAGGCTGCTCAGAACATCCTTTCAACAAGGGCTTCTTGCAGTAATGAGTGAATGAGTGGTTTGGGTTCCGCTGCTCAACCCAACAAGCACCACAAGTGCGACACAAAAAAAGCAACCCGGAACACCACAAAACAACATCAAAGAAATGTCAAGGCATCATGCGAGAAGCAAACACGAAGTACATCTGCTTGGTTGAGACCTGCAAACAAGAAGATGTAACATGAGTTCTTCCCCGCGCTGAACAACCGGGGGCCAGCCCCACAAATCAAAGGGATTGTCCAACCACCAAGAATACAGCACGAAAGTCAAACGGCGCACTCATCACTTCCGGAAGAAAAGAAGAAGACAAAAACATGGACTCATGGGCAGTGGCCCATTTTGAAGAACCTTACAATTCAAAAAGGACGGCAGTTCTTAAAAAGCACCTTAAAGAAGAACCTTTTCCACAAGGCCAACCAAAGAAAAAAGAGGCGACCCACCCCAACAGCCCGCCTGGCTCAAGGCCTCCCAGAGCCGCGCCAGCTCCTGGGCGGCCAAAGCCGCCGCCGCGCCTGCGACACGACCCGTGGCCGGGTTCTCCTCGAGATGCAAGGAACGGACAAAAGGGGAGTGCCCAGAAAAGAAGATGAGAAAAAAAGGAATGCAAAACTAAAAAAGCCATCCAGGTCCGATGTGGTTTTCTTTTTGAGGGAAGCCCGAAACGGAATTCATTCCCGAAATCTGGGTCATTCCCTCTGAGCAACAGCAAGTGATGTTCCCTAGATGTCCAAGGGAAACTCACTAAAAGTTGGCAACCCGGAGGTGATGTTGGAAACCAAGAGGGAACAGGTGTACGGAACCTTGATCAAAGGGACTGGTTCGGGATGGCGGGACAAGTTGGAAGTCCTGAACCGATCTCCGGAAAGTTCTTTGTCGCCGAAACGATCGCGACCTTCGGGAATAGAACAAACATGGGGAATTCAGGTTCTGACACAAGGGATCTCCAACCATGAAGATGGCTCCTGAATGCCAACTTCGAAATTCAGGAAGACTCTGTCCAACAATATGACAGACCCGTGGCCACTGGGAGTGCCCTCTCATAGCAAAACAAAACGCGGAAGCCCCAATCCGAGCAAGCGTTTCCCTTTATTGTGATTGCTCATGCTCACTTCGGACTGATATGCTCTCCAAATTAACCAAGGATGGCTCCAGGCGCGGTAGAGGAATATAATCTATTTCAGGAAGATTCCTTTGGTTAGCAGGGTCATCCAAATAGATCCGCATTTCTGGATTGGTCTTTGACCCCTGGCCAAAAAGCTGAGCTTCTTGCTAGTCAGTGGGGAAACAGCCGTTTTCTACACAAGTTGACATCTCAAGCCAATGATTATTCTGTTCTTATGACTGAGCGAAAAATCTTTGCAAGAACCCCGCACCATAATACAAAACGCCCTGAAAGCCCTTCAGGCCTGAAGGCGCTGCGTAGACGGCCTCCAGCATCGGCCTGCACACGGCTTCCAAAGGAAAGGCATCTCTCAGTCTCTCGGCCCTGTCCGGGAATTGGGTAGTGGTGTAAACCTTTCAGCTCATCCGAACACGGGCACAAAAACAGCCAATCAAGGGTTACCTGAACCTGGAGGTAGCCTTAGGCCCTCCCAAAAATGGGGATGTGCCTTTTCAAATGTACGATTTTTAGGGTTGGATGACCATCCTTTTTGTTGTTGAGGTCCTCTGTTTGAAAGTGGCGTCTGAGCTTGACGTTTGCAAATCATGCAAAACGCACGTTCGGCGTTCAGTCCGCCAGGATGTTTTGCCATGCGCAGAAGCAAAGGTCTTGAAAGTGCGGCAAGTTCTGGCCACGGTGTAACTTTGGTCCGCTGTGCTGTTGATGGACGAAATCCTGCACCAGTTGATACATGGCTTGTCATACTGTGGATGGGCGAAATCCTGCACCACCTAAAGAACCCTGGACTGATGATTCCCCTGTAAATACCAACAAACAATGGTCCATCCACGGTGTGATTTGTAGGGGCCATGCATCCCAGCTTTTGCAGGATTTGGTCTATCCCACAGAACTGTGTAAACATTGTTGCCTATGTGTCAAAATTGGGATCCCAAAAGATGATTGGCTTCCTTCGTGGTGTCCCTTTCAAACCACCCAAAAAGCTTACCGAGCCTCGAAAACACATACAAACAAAGGGGCCAGGTCTAATTTTTGCTTCAATTGGAAACCTAGTTAGTAAGTTTTGGCAAAACGCGTGTGTTGTATAGACTTTTAAATTTGCAGAGACATTTTGTAATATTCTATATAGATGGATGAAGAATCTGAACAAAGCTTTTTAAGTTGGGATTCCCCTTTCAGGCCAGTGGGGCCATCTTGAAATGAAGCTTTTTGGTGCGCATGTTTGTTGCGTACACCAACCTAGCCCGATCTGAAGCCGGGCCTCAGCGCATCCTGCAGCAGGTGGGGCCGCTGCACCCATGGCGGCAGCGCTGCGCCGGCGCTGGTCTCCGCGCCAAAGAGGGCCTCGCTGCTGGGGGCCCACTTGGCGTGTTGCTTTGGAGTTGGTGCCTTTGGAGTAGTTTGCACAATACTGTGAACATTGTCAAATTGGGCCCCCCAACCTACTGTGCCCCGCCAAAATGGTTTGGTTTCAGGTTGGTCGCACTTTCTGCAGGGTTCTTCCGTACTGTGGATGGACAAAATTCATTCGTTGGGATAGATGAAACCCCATGAGAACTGGGAGAAGAAAGACTGCTAATTCGTGTGAAGTGATTTTTGCCCGTTCATGGGTCCCACCCAATAGCAAGTGGCTGGTAGACTTAAGTGGGTTGTATTTAGGTTGAATCATTCTGGGGACTAAATAGGGTGTTCATTTAGCATCGACGTGGCACACGCTCGAAGCTCAAAGCTGGGTATGAAACCCTCGGTCTGAACCCGGGGTGCAAACCTTGTTCGCTCATCATCCATTCATTGGCTCAGCCACCATGGGAAGCCAGCCTCCAAAGGCTGTGAAAAATGGCTGCCATGGGTTAACATATGGGCGTATGCAATCATCCGTTGACAAGCTCCCAGCGGCCATCCTTTTGAGACCAGGCACCAAGGGAACGAAAACAGTCAAGCATGTAAGTCAACACCAAGCCCTTTCAACCGGTCAACTCGTGCCCTGTGCAAAGTGGCAGTGAATATCTGGCTGTCGGAGGCATTTCTAAAATGGCAAGGCAAGTGTGTCCTTGGATTTACCAACAAGCAGACCTTGACACAATGGGTCTTCATGAGTCAATTGGTTTTCCTGGGGCAAGGAAGGCTCCCGACTTGCGCGAGCCATGCTCGACAATGCTCTAGTGCCCATCCCCCTTACTGGACATGGGAATATGAGAGAGAAAGAGAAAGGGAAAGACAGAGAGAGAGAGAGAGAGAGGGAAGAAAAAAAAGAAAGAGAAAAACAGAGGGAGAAAGAGAGATGTGTGGGGTACCTACCGAACAAGGCGGCTGATTCTCGCAGCCGCTAAGTTGGAACACAGCAGCTGACGTGGCAAGCTTAAGAACATATTCACGAGCCAAACAGCATAACCCTTGCACTCCATATTTGAGCTTCAAGACTTGCCTGATCCTTGGTTTCGTCATGCCATAGTTTACCCCGTTGCAAAGGCCTTGTGGTGCCGAGCAGTTAGCCAACTGCATCGGAGGCGCCGCCAGGAGCTTGTGAGCCGTGGAGAGTAGCTCTGAGAAGGACCTCAGACAGCGCTGCAGACAATCGAATCGAGGTGAAGCGCTGTGGAAGCGTAGATGGACTAAATGTATGTACTGTATGTAAGCTGCATATGCTTGCAAAGCTGACATCTGGCTTGTTGCAGACAAAGGCATGTTTCATGCCAATGGGGGACCACCCGTGTCACCTTCTCGTTGTTTTTAGAACAGCCTTTGGAGTGGGGTTTGAACTTGATTCAGCCTGGCTGCCCGTCTCAGGTTGTTTTGCCTCCAACAGTCTCCTAGCAGGATGTCCCAAGCACCTTCGTCGCTCTTTGCTGCGTTTGACCCAAGACTCACGCACAAGCAGTCTTGCTCTCAATCTTGAGAAGAGGAATCACCAGCAGGCGCCAGGAATCCCAGCATGCAAAGACAACACACATCTCAGATCGCCCTGGATAAGTTAGGCGAACTGTCTCACGGAGTCTGCTTTTGTATATAGCCGGGGAGACTCGGATTTTCGGGACAGATTTGACACGTACTTCCGGTGGTTTCTGTCGGCCGCGGCACAATTTTTCCTGGCTAAGCAAATTGCGAGCCAACCCCATCTTTGATGGGTTGCAGCTGAAAAACACAACCCTGCGGTCAAACCTACTCTTCTGAAGATGGAATCTGGCGCTCTGTACAGCCTGGCACAAGGGGACCCGCAATGCTGCAAACAGCAGCGGGAGCGTCAGGATACAGTCGCCACACGTTCTCCCTCTGGCCGTTGGATTCGACCGCAAACGGAAACGGAAAGCTCACGCTTTTGACGCCTGAATGGAAGGAACTTTGGCCAGCGCAATCGGTGAAGACCCTCACCAGGCTCTGCATGGTACCACGAATTGAACAAATGAGGCGAACCCCCGCTTCATCGCATATCTCACCTGCCTCTATTGCAGCACGCGGACTGGAAAACTCTGCGATGATCACCTGACAGGCTGGACAACTCTGAATCATCCGTTTGGACAAGTTGGGCGCGTGTTAAAGCCAAAGAAATCACCGTCACAGTCCACAGGCTAGCTTTGGCATTGCCAGCCTGCCTCGGGCAGGTGCCAATTGATGGCTTCGCTGACTCCCCGCACTTCGTCCGCATTGGGCACCATGTAGCCAACCCCGAAGCGAGCGAGGTCCGACAGCTCGTTGGAGAAGTCCAGGGCCAAGACCTGTGCCGCGACGCTTCGGGCCCTGAGCCCCCGGTGAGCGGCAGATTCGGTCGACATTCCGCGATTCGGACCGCAAAAGAAAGTGACGGACAATTGGCACGCGCGCCAATCGCACCCAACCCCATCGCCCATTGGGGAAAAGGCCGCCAGGTTGAAGCCACCCGCCCAACGTGGAAAGTTGGGCGTAACCCCGAAAACCAAGCACCGCTTGCTTGACTACTTCCAGCTACTTCCGGCTGCTTCTGGCTGACTGAATCACCCCTGCCATCAGCTAAACCGTGGCCGATATGATTTCACCCCCAACAGGCAATGAGAAAAAATCATGTGTTCAAACGCCTGCTGTTGACACGTACCCGCCTGCCGGTGCGACAGCGCCACGGCAGCATCCCGCAAGGCCGTGGTCTTGCCACAGCCCGCGGGGCCCACCAAAATCGTGGAGCCAGCGTCCAGGAGCCGCCGCATCGGCTGCGACGCGTCCGGCACGTAGCCTAGGTGGCTCTTCAAGCCCAGACGGGCACACAATTGCCCGACAATGGCCTCAAGGTCCAGACAGAACAGATTCGCCGCGTGGACAATATGGGGCTCGTATCCGATTTGCCGACTTACAAACACTAACTTGGCGAATGCGACTTTGCAACAGTACCTGATGAGTACCATGGACAGCTGCTCATGTGATGTGGGGGTCAATATGTGCTCGAATAGAAGCAGCTGTCAGCAGTCCAGCATGTCAGCCAAGAGACGACCAATGTGTGCTGTTATTCGGCACATGCCACCGGACGCGGAGAATCCAAAGCTAATTCTGTGCAGTGAGTCCGGCACATTGACGAAGCCGGACGTCGCAGGCGTCCAACCAAGCCTTGCGGGCAGCTGACTTGGGAAAGTAGGTAGGTCATGACCCAATGAGAATTAACATGATAGGGTGAGTTTTTTTGTGGCCAATAGTTCCTAATCAAGTTGGAGGTTTTCCCAATCGCCTACCACTCAGCTCCTCCAAGTCAGCTTGGGACAGAACCATTGTTGGCAGCTTGCTCTGGTCCAACCAGCCGGATCGCAGCGCCGCCTGGCAGGCGCAAATCCCCCAAGGCCGCAACTGGGAAACACGTGTTTGTGGGAAGGTGTCTTCTCAGAGGAGAGCTTGACAGGCACTCGTGTTTTCCAAAGGTCTCCTCTGATCTGAGCGCAAGGTCTCTTGTAATTGTACAAATATTGATGGGCAGTCCACTGCAAGATCTGGTTGCGAGGTCGCTATACGGACTCCATGGTTGGTCCTTGCACAAGATCTCTTGCGATCTCTTGCTGGAAGCTCATGCGCAACAGCTCTTAGATGATCTATAGGATAGACGGCGGAAGATCTTCTGAACAATCTTCTGCCGAGGTCTTGTGCAAGATCCGTATCAAGTAATCTTTACAGAGGTTCTACGTAGAAGATAAAATCTCTGGAGGTCAATTCTTTAGAAGGCACTTATGCGGTCCTGTGTAGATATCCTTGAAAGATCTTTAATGGGGATGTTGCTTTCAAGGTCTGTTGGGAGGAGATCATGCGCAACTGATCTTAGAGAGGATCTATAATATAGAAGGTCCTGCAAGATTCTTTCCTTGAAAGGTTTCTTCGAAAGCACTCACGAGGTCCCTCGCTAAACGCCCTTGCAGGATCTCTAACAAGGGGCTGCAAGTTGTCTGCGGAAATCTCGATTCACAGCCTACGAAATCGGATTGAGATTTGTACAAGGTCCGTGCATCTCTTGCGATCCAGGAGCTCACGTACAGTACTTACAAAGGATATGTGGACATGCTATGGAAGGTCGGGCTTTAAAGCAATGCTTTAGGTTTTGCGCAAGAACTTGTTCAAAAAGAAACGCAAAGGGCCTTCGCGCTATCAATGTTCAAACCACAACAAGAGCGATCCGGCACTGCCGGAGTCCACAAAGGGCTCTCCCAAAGTTCGCAAAGGGTGCACTTTTGACGTTCGGTGTGACTCACACCGCGCGACAGCGAGAGCACTGACACACCCAAACGCTACAAGTGCACCAATCCACCATTTGTGGAAGTCACATGGCTCAGTGTAGACACATTAGTGGGACAAGTCACCTTCATCAGGTTCATCAGGCGGGACGACATTGGTTTAACGATCAATGAGCTTTGAATAGGACTTTGTCAGGCGCGCCTTCATCGGCGCGTTCGCCTGGAAGACTAGTCGATGCGCGACACAGGACTCCACCAAATCCGCGAATTCGCCGGCATCTACCACCGCCGCAAGTCGCAAGGGCAGCAGAAGGCCGAGGCATCCTGGTTCTGCGTGCAACTGCACATGCCCCAAACTTACTTCTTTGCGCTGTTCCCTTGATCTGCCGAGCTGCAGGTGATTTGACCGTAAACAGATTGAACATGACCAAAACATGCTTAGCCACCACACTAAACGAACGAGCGACGCCGTCTCAAGAGGTGCGGAAAAATATGCGCTTGGTTGCGATTGCTTTCCGTGGCCATGCCTGCATCTTCACGGCGCACGCTGGGCTCCGAAGCGTGGCTCCGCAACGAAATTATCTCTGGATCTTCCTCGGCGGAGAATGCCCCTTGCACCTCCAAAGCCCCCAGTTCCAGCCCTGCACTGTCCGGGTCCATCTGTGAGTTCGCACTTTCTCCTGCGCACAAAGGCTTGCGCAGGACGTGTGTGCTGAAACAGGGACCAACAACGGCAGCCGTGAGTAGCTGGTGGCAGAATGCAACAAGCTGTTGCTTCTGAACACATCCAGCCCGTCCTTCATCAAGCCTCAGGGCAGCATGGCACGTGCCAAGCTGACCAGCATTTTCACGAAAACTCGGCTCGGTTGAGAATGTCACAAACAGTTGTCGGAGGAAAGACCTGAAGGTGTTTGCCAAGACGCGAGGTTCCCAACAAGAAACCAATGACCTGGAATAGCTTCAACCAGCTCGTGACACGGGCCTCTCTGGGGCAGGGGTGCCTTGACTTAACGCTCACGCTTGTATTTATTGAATTTTATGAGCGTGCCCGTGCGTGTGATTTGCATGCGCACTGTGTGCATATGTGTCGACAAGCGTGAATACATTTCAATATGCCTGTCTGTGGGGCGGTGTATGTGTGTGTGTGTCTGCGTCTGTGTGTATCGGCGTGCGCCTGTGCCTGTGCAAGTGCTGGGCGTGGGTGTGGGCGTGTGTGTGTGTGTGTGCGCGTGACCGTGAGCTTGCGGGGCGTTACTGTCCGCTGGCGCGTGCGCGTGCGTGCGTGTCTCTGTGTGCGTGTGACTGTGCGTTGATGTGTGTGTGTGTGTCTCTCTGTGCGTGTGTCTCTGTGCGCGTGGGTCTCTGTGTGTGTGTGTGTGCGTGTGCGTGTGCATGTGCCTCTGCGTCTGCGTCTGCGTCTGCGTGCGCATGCGCGTGTGCGTGTGCGTGTGGGTGTGGGTGTGTGTGTGTGTGCGTGTGTGCGTTGTGTGTGTGTGTGTTTGCATGTGTTTGTGTATGCTTCTTGTGTGTGTGTGTGTGTGTGTGTGTGTGTGTGTGTGTGTGTGTGTGTGTGTGTGTGTGTGTGTGTGTGTGTGTTGTGTGTGAGTGTTTGTGTGTTTGTGTGTGTGTGTGTGTGTGTGTGTGTGTGTGTGTGTGTGTGTGTGTGTGTGTGTGTGTGTGTGTGTGTGTGTGTGTGTGTGTGTGTGTGTGTGTGTTTGTGTTTGTGTTGTGTGTTTGTGTGTTTGTGTGTTTGTGTGTTTGTGTGTTTGTGTGTTTGTGTGTTTGTGTGTTTGTGTGTTTGTGTGTTTGTGTGTTTGGTGTTTGTGTGTTTGTGTGTTTGTGTGTTTGTGTGTTTGTGTGTTTGTGTGTTTGTGTGTTTGTGTGTTTGTGTGTTTGTGTTTTTGTGTGTTTGTGTGTTTGTGTGTTTGTGTGTTTGTGTGTTTGTGTGTTTGTGTGTTTGTGTGTTTGTGTGTTTGTGTGTTTGTGTGTTTGTGTGTTTGTGTGTTGCGTGGTTGTGTGTTGTGTGTTTGTGTGCTTGTGTGTTTGTGTGTTTGTGTGTTTGTGTGTTTGTGTGTTTGTGTGTTTGTGTGTTTGTGTGTTTGTGTGTTTGTGTGTTTGTGTGTTTGTGTGTTTGTGTGTTTGTGTGTTTGTGTGTTTTGTGTTTTTGTGTTTTTGTGTTTTTGTGTTTGTGTGGTTGTGTGTTTGTGTGTTTGTGTGTTTGTGTGTTTGTGTGTTTGTGTGTTTGTGTGTTTGTGTGTTTGTGTGTTTGTGTGTTTGTGTGTTTGTGTGTTTGTGTGTTTGTGTGTTTGTGTGTTTGTGTGTTTGTGTGTTTGTGGGTTTGTGTGTTTGTGGGTTTGTGTGTTTGTGTGTTTGTGTGTTTGTGTGTTTGTGTGTTTGTGTGTTTGTGTGTTTGTGTGTTTGTGTGTTTGTGTGTTTGTGTGTTTGTGTGTTTGTGTGTTTGTGTGTTTGTGTGTTTGTGTGTTTGTGTGTTGGTGTGTTTGTGTGTTGGTGTGTTTGTGTGTTTGTGTGTTTGTGTGTTTGTGTGTTTGTGTGTTTGTGTGTTTGTGTGTTTGTGTGTTTGTGTGTTTGTGTGTTTGTGTGTTTGTGTGTTTGTGTGTTTGTGTGTTTGTGTGTTTGTGTGTTAGTGTGTTTGTGTGTTTGTGTGTTAGTGTGTTTGTGTGTTTGTGTGTTTGTGTGTTTGTGTGTTTGTGTGTTTGTGTGTTTGTGTGTTTGTGTGTTTGTGTGTTTGTGTGTTTGTGTGTTGTGTTTTTTGTGTGTTTGTGTGTTTGTGTGTTTGTGTGTTTGTGTGTTTGTGTGTTTGTGTGTTTGTGTGTTTGTGTGTTTGTGTGTTTGTGTGTTTGTTTGTTTGTGGGTTTGTGTGTTTGTGTGTTTGTGTGTTTGTGTGTTTGTGTGTTTGTGTGTTTGTGTGTTTGTGTGTTTGTGTGTTTGTGTGTTTGTGTGTTTGTGTGTTTGTGTGTTTGTGTGTTTGTGTGTTTGTGTGTTTGTGTGTTTGTGTGTGTTGTGTGTTTGTGTGTTTGTGTGTTTGTGTGTTTGTGTGTTTGTG